ACATCTAATTTAGAAGACTGCATAGAAATTAAGCAAAATATTTATTTAAAAATATTTACTTTAATACTGTGTACAACTAAATTTTTCTGCAAATATATTGAAATACGGAACATTATAGCCAAATGCATTTCAGATCTTCTTCCACTGGTGTTGCAAAATTACACTGAAGATCTATATGGGCTAATAATGTGATTTAAAAAATTATTTCTCAACTCCTGGTAAATTATATAATCAAAAATACTTCCTCACAAAAAAAAAAAATCTTGTCTCTGATAAGCAATGACTTTCCAAACTTCAACAAATTATATATTCTGCTTGTTTCTTTTGAAATTAATAGCATATTGCAGCGTGTCACCTCAGCATGCCAAAAGCTAGGTTAATAAACCATGATCCTGAAATTTCTGAATGGATTTTTATATTAGCAATACTAGAGAAATCTATCTCCTATATCATCTCTACTACCTTCAGTTTATCTTAGCTGCCCTTGAAATAAAAATGTAGAAGAGAACATATTATGATTTTTAAAAAATGGAAATACTAATCCAAATCAGAGGAACACAGGTTTTAAAATAACTCTCTGTTAGGAACAGACATTCTGTCAGCATTTGAACAAAATTTTGTTTTGCTTTTTTGAAGAGATCTGCAGTACACTTATATTCCTCCACTCCTTACTCAGCAGTTTTTAGTCAGTCATGGAAAGTTTTCATTGCAGCAAATGTCTTTCTGTGTGAGAATCTGGGATTACAACATGGAAGGGGGTTAGATAATGACAAGTTTTAATTACCCAAAAGAGTAGCAACTCTTCTTCCTTACCTGAGACCTGGAGAGCAAGTTATAAGAGAAAGAATACTCAAACACTCACAGGACATGGAGGTCCTGAAAGGAAGAGAGACAGATTATGCACAGGAGGAGATATTCCTTTTGGGAAAGTAAAGCTTGCTATTAATGTCAACTGAACCATCTACCCGATGAGAGAGAGACCACTAAAAGTCAAAATGCTTTGAGAAAAATATAAGAGAGAGCAAGGAAAAGGAACTTCTAAAAGAGAAACAAGGTAGCCAGGTTTAAAACACAGTAAGAGTTGAATTTTTTTCTAAAGTAAGTGAGAAGTAGGACAGAATAAGAATTAATGGACCTGGATATAAGGCAAATGGTTCCTCTGCCTCTTGCAGTGATATAATTTTATCCTAAAAGGTTTCCAGGAACTTCAGCAAAACATTTTTCAATTGTAGAAGATGAACTTTTAACAGAATTTTCTCACTGCTTCCAGGCACAAAAACCTGCTGGATTTTGAGATGGAAAACTAAAAGATCTTAAATATTAAGGATGTTTCTACAGATGAATACTTTTGATTCAAAGTCAATAAGTTGTATGCAACATTCTTTACAACAGAATGGACGAAAATAAAGAATTTCTACTTAATAACATAATACAAAGAAGGAAGAAAAGCAGAAATATTCAACCAATATGAATTATAAATATTCCATTTATTAATAAATTTACACTAATAATTTAAGGGCCCATTCGGTATCCCATCACTATCAGTAAAATTCATTTAATAATTTCCCATGCAGAGAATTAAGGATTCTCTTCTAAGTATTTTCCTTCTGTGATTCATGCAAAAAATATGTTTTCATATGTCAGTAAAAAGATATCTCAATGTCATGTAATGGTGTCACAGCTGTTTGCCTTTTTTTCATTTTAGCAGTATTTAATTTATATTTGTAAAACATACAAAGACATTCCTCTTCTGCTCATAATTTTTTTTTTCCTGGCACTACTATTTTAAAACTTTAGTTTGTGTTTGTTTGGTTTTTGAGGGTTTTTTCCCCCCACAGCTTTCAGGGCAACCATTAAGTCATCTCTCCCAGTAAATTCCCACTCTCTTTTGAAAAGCAGATAAATAATAAGGGAGAAATTAAAATATTTCACTCTGCCCAAACTTAAGACAGATTTATTGTTTTGATTTCAGTATATTTGTCATGCCTCAGAGTCTAAAAACATGATGTTTTATCTATTTTGTGGGTGAGATGAGTTTGTGAATGGAAATCTAATTAGAGACAACAAAATCATGTTACCAGTATAGAAACAATTACATTTTACTATAATATCAGCAACTTAAAGGACAGCAAGAAAAATTACAAGACAGACCATATCAACAGGTATATTTTTCTCATTACAGGTAAGCAGTTTGTTCCTGTTAAATCCAGGATTACTCAGAGAGATTCTTCTGGTTCAGTCACCTTTCAGTCAGACTACCACAAAGAATCACAAAAAAAACCCACCAAAAACAACAACAACAACAAAAAAATTGTCAAAAAACCAAACCCTAAAGCTAACACAATGTTTGTCCTCAAAGAGAAGAGATTAAGACCCGTTGTGGGTACACACCACCCAGCTTTTGCAAGATTGTTCTATTCTCTTGTCCTCATTCCGTATTGTCACAGCTTTAACTTGGAAATTGACTTTAATTTACAAGTTGAGATCTGTTAATTGTTGGATTACATAAACTGTAGGACAATTATAATTATATATATTATAATTCACAGCAAAATATGCTTTAGTAAGACCCCTTTAAATCATTGGAAACAGAAGGTGTGCAAAAATAGGATCACTCATTGCAGAATTGATTTGCGTTAAGAAAAATAAGACATCTGTGGAGAAATTTTTTTTCATTTGCGGTACTTGGTAGAATATCAAATCAACTACATCACTTCATATTGCTAGGACAACTTGCTGTGCAAACCTTGTCATTCCAAGTGAATTCTATATCGTTTTCCCTTACAGAAAATGATAACCTGCAACCATTTTTATTTATAAAATTCAGTCTGTTCATGTTTAACTCTGGATAGTTTCAATTATTTTTAAATAATATTGCTGAAAAAATGAAAGAAAGTAACTTCTTATCCTTCATGTCCTTTTGATGCAGATCATTTTGCAGTAGGCAGGACATTTTTTCTTGGCCATATTTTCTGCTACATACCAAGATGCTTCTTTCAGTCTCATTCCTAAAACAAGAGCTTGACACCTTTGAATGGGTTTTTGAGAAACATTTGTCTCTGCTTCTGCATCACTTTTGGGTTCACCTCAGACAATAAAACACAACAGCTCTGGGGCTTGAGACTAAATTATTCACTTACCTCAGAGCTCAGTTAACTGTTTGGTTTCTTTGGAGTTTTAGAATCTCTAGATATCTCACTCCAAAATAAAAGTTATAGAAATAAATTCTATCTGGAATGGTTTTGGGGTGGCTTTTTTTTTGTTTTGGTTTGGGGTGGTTTTTTTTGTTTTTGTTTTGTTTTGTTTTGTTTTTATTATATTTGGTATGACTTATGAAAGGATGTAGTCTAAATTTGATTTTTTAACATGATTTCACCAAGCTGGCATTAAATGAAAAGGATGTCACTGATTTTTAACAGTCTGTTTCATCCTAGTGATTCAATCCTACAATTTCCAACCTCCTCAGATGCTCAGCTGATACTCAACTGCATTTTGAGGCTGGCTTAAGCCGGAAAACTTGGAAAATCATGATTTTTATGAAACACATCAGAAATTCAGTTTTTCATTCCCAATCCATGACAGCTTACACATCAGGACTCCATTTATTAGCGGTTGTGAGATTCACAGGTATAAAATTTGCCCCGTCTTTTTTGCTTTGCATGAGACTCTTTTATTTATTGACATCAGACTACAGTATTACATGTCTCATTGTGCCTCCAGTAATTGTCACTTGGAGAGAGTACACAAAGTCTGTTTCTCACACTGTGTGAGAGGCCCTATCTCTTTGTCATGCCTGGTGTCTACATTTAATTGTAGCCAGCGATGTGTGGGTAAGCCCAAACAGCTCCGAGTAGGAAGCCAGCAATGGCAGTGACAAAACCTGTGGGATCAATACTGAGCCACAAAGAGGCCTCTAGGCTTCTTTGCCCTCCTTACAGCTATCTCCTGGAGCTGATGTGACCCTGATCATCTGCTCCTCACTCCAACCCCAAGAGAGACCAAGAGCCAGCTGTAGTAGCTTTCTGCTGATCAAGTGTATACTGACGTGAGCACTGTGCTTTGTTCATGATGATATTAAACTGTGAAGAAAACAAAAATCAAAATATGGCCATAAAGCAAGATTTGTTTATTTGTGAAAATGTAATAAGCATACTTTAGAAGATGGGGCTTTAGCAAATATTTTATTGCCTTTAAAGCCCGAAAGATCTGGGCCGTGCTTCCAGGGACCTGCCACGTTTATTCCCACCACCACAAGTAGCACAAGTGCATGTAGGTGTCCACACAATCCCAACCTCAGCTTCTCTTCCATCAGCTTGTTTTGAGGAAGGAAAAGATCTTGAAGCCTACTAGACTGCATAATAGAAAGCACATAATGTAAAGGTGATGCCTCAGGTTTTAGCTTTTATAATTTTCAGATTCTGTACTGCTTTAGTGTGTACTTCTGAGCTTCATATCAGGGGATAGTAGGCTCTCTTTACAGAGTAGGTAGACAAAAAAATTCCTTCTTTAGGTGAGGACCAAGAACAACTGATCCAAATTTCAGGGCCAAGAGGATAAACAACGGTGGAATGAAGAGAAAAAACAAGAAGGATGGGACTTCATAAGATAAAGCTATAATTAGGCTATTAACTCAAATATGCTAATGGACCAGAACTTATAAATATGTGAGGCCCCGTGACTGGTCATTCATTTTGTGACCATTTGGGGTTCATCTTGGGTGTAGCCTTGGCTGCGCTCTTGTGCTGGGATCAAGGTGTATCCATTAAAGACTTTTAATAAATACCTACTTTATTCTTTAGCTCTGTCTAGTCTCTGTTCTAAGTCAGCCTTCACAAGGTATCAAAGGTATATGAAAAATTGTGGTAAGCTGGGAAGGGTATTGTCCTCCAGTGTATAGCTTAGACATTCATCCATTTGAACTTATTTCTGGTTAGGATAGTGCAATCTTTATGTACCAATCAGAACAGTACACATTCATAACAGTAAATAACAACTGAAAGAACCATTAAGATTATTTTAATTAAGTTTTGTGCAACAGAGTAACAATCTCATTCAATATAAAATCATCAATTTTTTTTACATTTCTCTTTTGTGTGCACTTCTCTAAATGACAGCATAATTTGTTAACAGCTTTGAAAAAGTTCTTGATAATCATGTTCTGTCTTTTTTATGCAAACTGTGAAGTAGTTATAGACAAATAACCCATTTCAGCAGGAGTTATATATATAAAATTGTAATTTTTTTAAAAAATCACAGCAGAAGTACAACTGGTTTTTTGAGTGAGACCAAACCTTAGAAACCTGTAAGGTGATGATTTTTATTAATTTGAGAGCTCCATGGTTTTAGTTATTAACTGTAATTTTGTCTATTCATTAATGTAGAAGCAACTATTTTCTTTCTGCCTGGAGCCTTTCTCATTGCTATTAAATCCATTCTTACGTGAAGACATTTTCCAAACAAAAGATACGAGGCCAAGTTCAGAATGCAGCTGAAATAATTTCTTCCAGATCTGAAGTCACTCTTTTGTGCCTGTATTAAGAGAAGAACATTACTTTTTTATTACTGTCACGCATCGCTCATTTCAGTCCTCCATTATCCTTCGTCTATAGACTCTTATCCTACTGCCTTCTCCCCTTCAATAGCTGCCAATCATCCTATTTTATATGGAGCCTAGATGGTCTTAAATGCCATAATTAATACAACTAGTCACTGAGTACCTCAACTGAAAGATTCAAGTGCATTTAGCTGAAATTTCTTAATTTTTTTTTTTTTAAGAAAAACACTGAATCTGAAAAAAGCTGCATTTAACAGTCATGGATGTCTTTATGTCTTTGCAAAGCACCTTCCATATTTACAAGGGCACCTGCTGTTGAAAGAGTTTTGGTAACTTTGCACAACTCCATGGCATGCCATGATTCATTTGTTACAAGAGAGGCCAAAATGTCACAGGAAAAGGGATTAAATTCTTGTGTATGTACATATGCCTCTGAATGTCATTTCTGCATAGTAGCTCTTAAACCTGCTGATCAAATATCTAAAGATTATTATGACCATTGCCTCCAAAGAGAGTAGAAATACCTGTTTTCACACAAAATAACTCCTTTCCCACAATTTTTCTTCAATATCTTCTGATCGGAGACCTCAAAGATGCACCTGGATGTCTTTTCACCCTAAAAGAAATAAAATCTTTTAAATGTCAGTGAGGAAGAGCATGTAAGAATAAAAGAATAGCAGCATGACTATTATCAGTGATTAGGTAGCTGTCATGGGAAAAAGCATGCCCCATTTTCTATCCTTTCAAAGTCTGTTTCTGGCCTTGTGTCATTCAGTCATTAGCTAATATGCAGTCCTTGGAGTAACAACACACCTAAAGCATTTCCAGTGAATAGTTTACTGCTTCTTGCCTTGGACTTGAGAGTTTCAGACCTCTCAGGCAATTATAAAAAATTGGGTATCCCACATTCTGTGTAGAAGAGGGATAAAAATATTTCAAGTTTTTCCTTAAAATGAATTGATGCGAACTTTTACCAAGGGGATACTGAAGGAGGATGCAACTCCATGGTGCCAAGGTTCATCTTCTTATTCCCAACACCAAAGAATTTTCTCAGGGCTGGTTTTCCCTACTTTCCACATTCAACATAATGTGTAAGTACTCATAGGATTTAGATTTCACTTTGTGAGAGGTCTGTGATGCCTTTTCCTAAGAATGAACAAAGGTCTCACACAGTAACTCTGATTAAAGAACCTTGTCCTAGAAAGATATAGTAAGTATGTGCTAAACCTTTCCCAATGTCAGTTTTACAGGTGAGACAATGATTTAGGCTTGCTGAGGTGGACTTTCATGCTATTACAAAGGTGCTGAATTACTTCAATCCAGAATATAGCTTAATGAAGAGTCATAATGAGCGCTGACCAGACGATGTTTTAATTTAGTATATCAAATTATGTAACATTAGATATCACAGAGAGTAGACAATGGATGTAAATGCACACAGAAATAAAAATATAGCCTTCTTTGGGACCAATGTCTAAAATCTGCTCATAGCAGCTCTCAAGGGTTTTCAATTCAATTTTACAACACACCACAATTAAGCCTGTATCATCTGAGAAAAAAACATCATGGTCAATTTTTTAAGATCTCAGCTTCTGTTCCAGTATTAAAGAAAGAACAGCACTTGTGAATGACAGTGAGCTTTTAACACTGTTGAGAACACAGTGTACTAAACACTAGATGTAAAGAAGAGAACTTGGAGGGGTTTTTTGTTTGGGTTTTTTTGTTTGCTTGTTTGTTTGTTTGTTTTAATCAGAATTGTTCATAATGGGATTTTATAGCACCAATGCACTTACAGGTTTTCAGGCAATGTTGATGAAACCTGGATGCCCCAGCTGACAGTCAGCAGCAGCCTCTCCACCTCAGCACCCTGTCTGCCTCAGAGCCAGTGCTGCAGGGCCAATGCTGGGTTTGCACAACCAAAAGTAACTCCCCAAACTCCCTGAGTCTGAGTTGCCCGCTTCGAATCCCACAGAAACTAGTAATGATGCTCACAGAACTTGAAGCAAAAATACACTTTGTTTTTCCAAAAGATTCTCCAGGAGGGAAATGCAAAATGTTTTTTCACTTGGACTTTCAAGATATGTTTTCCTTAGGAAGAAAGCAGTCAAGAAATACTTGTTTCTTATCACAGATCCAGTGTTCAACAAATCCTATAAAATCTACAACCTTCTGACAGCTTTAATAACTAAGTAGGAAGAAATCACACTCTACAGCAAACATCAATGTGTGCATACAGTAACTGCAGGTCTCTAATGAAATGTTACAATCTTAGCAAAAAAAAAAAAAAAAAGGAAAAGAAAAGAAAAGAAGACATAAATCTGTATACTGAGTCACAGTAGAGTACAATTACCCACATCAATTTTTTGACATGTTACTGCATATTTACTTCACTCCTGTCTTTGGCAAGCCTTTTTATAATTTTCATGCATTACTCTATTATACCTCTGCTCCATTTAGCATGTTTACCTTCATCCACAAGCCCTTCCACAAACCCTCATTCTCTCCACTGATGAAGCTGATCTGCAAAAGTCACTAGCATATTTCTTGTTTCCCCATCTTGTTCTCCCAGCTCACTATTGTACTTTTGTTTTGTACTTCACAGTTATCTTTAACTGAGGGAATGATCAAGCCTAATTTTTATATGATAACAGATCATTTCAGATTGTAGTGAAAAACTGCATATATGTCTGTAAATGCAGATAGTCAGGACTGACCAACCAGCTTCTATACTTTGATATTTTTGTTCCAGAGATGTACTTGGAAAATCAATTTGGATTTGGATAAGGAATCAACAAGGAGTCTGATATGAAACCCACTAAACCTATGGGAAGACTCTTACTGATTTAAAAAGCTTTGAAATACAGTCCTTCAGTTAGTTTTTAAAGCATATTCTGAGGAAATTGTCATTTTACTATTGCAGAAACCTAAAATTTCTCCATATAAAGTAAGCTAAAATTCATAAATAATTTTTAAAATTTCAGAAACTTTACTCAGCAGGAGAAAGGCCAGGAAAAATGAAAAAGGACAAACCTGTGCTTGCGAATTCATGCTTCTTTGAAGGCCGATGATAAAAATTAAAAGAAGTAACTTGTACCAAAGGAAGGTAGAAAATTAATCAATTTGAATTAAATTTAATTAATGCAAGGATGATACTAAAAATCACTAAAAGTATATTTTTACAAGAAGCCCACAGTCCCAAACTATAGTCATAACACAGCATGACAAATCAACAAATCAACTGAACATCATCCAGATCTTTGTAGATGAGAACTTGGTAGCCAAGAGACATGACAGATGGCTGAATAGCAAACACACAGGCATCTTTCTTCTTTTGTGAAGCAAAGTTTTTTCCAAAATTGTGCAAAGTGTAGTGGTTTAATTTGCTGAATTAGTTTACCTCCTACATTTGGAATGTTCATAGCAAAGTAGAAAGGAAAGTTTGCCAATTTCAGAGCATTCAGATATTTTAAAGTGAGATCCAGAGTCTCAAAGAGTTTTTATTCCAGTTCTGCAAATGGAAAAGCTGAGGAACAGATGGATTGAGAGGGCTTCTTGTGCACTGAGAAACTCCCCTTGAAACCAGTCAGTGGTGAACACAGAGGTGGTGAAAACAAGATTTCACAGTAAAGTTGACTCCTGGAATTAGAAATGAGATCTAACAGTTTCCTCACTCTCATGCCTCACAATCCAGGTAAAATCAAATCTCTTTTCTCAGAATGAGAATCTGATATATTTTCAGTCCATTCTCTGTTAATCATTGCATGAAGTTTTACATCCCAGAAAAACACAGACCAATCTGTTTCTTAAAACTAACAATTTTATCACTTGTCTTTGTCATAGAAATGTGAGATGGACCCAATTTTGAAAAGAAGGGCTAATGAATTGCACTTTACAGAGATTTATATGCAGTAAGATGTGGTTTATTGGAGGACAGCTGGTGGTTGCTGGCATCTTTGGAAGGACTTTCAAAGACCTACACAGCCCTTCTCAGCTGCTCATATTTTTCCCATTTCCTGTGATTTTGTTCTTTTCAGCAACAGTGTCAAGAATAAAGAAATCTGTATATCTGGAACCATAACTACAGTGTCTTAAACTCCTCATGCAGCCAGCACTGTGGGATGTCAAACACATAAATCAACTATGCTACTTAAGTACTTTAAAATATAATCACTGAATTTCTAATTACATTTAAAATTGTCTAAATAAAATGTTTTATGCTGGGTTTGGTTAAGGATTTTTCTGTATGAGAGTCTGGGGTTTTTTTTTTTTATATATGTTAGAAATAGCAACTAAGTCTTAGACCATTTTTTTAACCATATAAAAGATAGATTGTTTTCAGAAATTCATGCTTGAGCAAGTGACTTATCCTACAGTTCTCAGAACTGGTTACAGGCTAGAATAAATACCTCCCTAAAGGTCTATTCCACTGTTTACTGAAGAATCTTAGAAGTACCATCTGAATTTGGAAAGTTATAGTTAAATAAATACTACCAGGAGAGATGAATCAAGGTGCATATTTCATAATAAAAAGCTATTTTATTCCCAAATTTATTTTATTTTTAAAAATTTGAAATTAAATATGGAAATAATTTCATAACTCACAAAGAAAGAAGTGTAAATTTTTCAATGAGAACAATCATTTTCCATAAATAGTTTTAAATTAAACTAAGTGGCATTTTGGAACTAAATTTTCATGCTTTAGTGTATGCATATCTTGGATTTGACTCTAACTTAATCAAGCAATTTATAGTCATGCCAGATCTAGCATTAACAAAAATGTAAATTACATGAGAAATTAATAGCTCTGCTACAGAAGAAAACTTTCGACCCTTCTAGACTCCCACTTAGCATATAATCTTTTCATATACTTTTCTACCCTGAAAACTGTACTTTTCTGAGTTAGCATTATTATTCTTTAAAATGTCTGTACTGAATAAGCTTATAAATGAATGTCACAAATAGTGTAATACCTTTTTAGCTCAGTATGGAGTACAAAGAGCATATCACTGAGCTTCTCTGTTCTGCTCTACTTGATGGGAAATGTGATAGAGGGAGAGCATAAGGTCTGTTTCCTTCAGCCTCTTCTGTCACCTTGAAGTGGTGAGTGCAAGACCTGAGTGCCAAGTTGTAGAGACACCAGAATGATCTGAAAATACTGAAGACTTCTGGGGATCATGGAGGAAAAGAAACTGGTGATATTTAAGACAAGCTCATGTGCAAGCACTGAAGTTTGTCTGTAATTTGTAAATATAAATAAAGGTGAACTCAAGAATGAACAATTCTGACAGAGCTGTTCCACTGCAAACCTGTTCCCTTTACATCCATACCAATGTAAACATAAATTGTGAGTTTGCAGGCCCCAAGTTGGGCAGCTCCCTGGGGGCTCCCCTGGCAGGGGAGACCCTCCTGGAGCAGTTCCGTGTCAGCAACGAGAGATGCATTGGCCTTTTTCAGTCTTCGGCTTTTGTTCATTTTTATCTTATTAAAACTTCAGCACACTGTCTGCGCCAGACTCTGCGTGCAGGCAAAACAGCACAAAAATGGCTAACAATCTCTTGTTACAAAGCCTTCTAAGTTTAATCAAACACCAAAACTAAGCTACCCAGTTGAGAAGTGACACCTAAATTATTTTCCTTTCTAAGCCAATAACTGACCATTAAAGACCCACAATGAGGATTTTTCTACCCAATTACAAGATACCACCTAAACCCAAGAAGGAGGAAGAAGAAGAGAGAAGAAAGGAACTTGAGACAACACCCTGTACCCTCCATGTTGTATCCATCTATAACATACCAGAAATCCTAAAACCTAAATTTCTCACCGATGTGACATACTACACTACTCTCTACAATCTCTACAATCTATTTCACACTTTCGTGATTTCTAGTTTACCTTGAGGCTTTGGAAGTTTTCTCCATGAATGAGGGTCAAAGTCAGTGCTCCCCCGGGGGTCAGGACACCCCGGAGCAGACAGAGAAATATTCCCAGTGCCCTGAGTTTCCACAATAAATAACTCAGGCTGGAAGTTACACTGATCTTAATCAGATTATGCAGAGGGCTTTTTGGAGTTATGAAGCCTATAGATGGATCTGGAATTGACATGGTATAAGGCACAAAATAAAGGTAGAGATCTAAGTGAATGATATTCTGCTTATCTCAAGACAAAACAATAAGCATCAGGAAAAAAGTGTCTGCAGGAGCTAACAATGAAGGTAACTGAAATAAGTGTATAGAAGACCTACAGGCTGTAGAATTGGATGCATTTTGATTTAGCTACAAGTCATTGCTTCTACAGAGGAGGTTAAGGACAACAGAAAATGCTTTGTTACACTTTATAGCATAAAGTTAACATAATATATTGGCATTAAAGTTCATATTTCACATTCATGTCAAGACTAATTACATTCATAGTAGGGAAAAGGACGAAAGCTGACAAAGTGCAGTTTGCAAATATCACAGTATGTGTCAGAGGTAAAAAAGCATTTCCAAAGTCATCAAAGAACTTCTATGAATAAGCATTTTACATAGTAATTTCAGCAGAAACTAATGCTGACTTTCCACAACCAGCTTTAAAAAAGAACTGAACTACATATTATTAGTAAGGAAATTTATTTTGAATCAGATAAATTAGCTACAAGTTTTAATACATTTATTAAACAGAATTAAGTCCCTAATGGTTCAGTTTCGTTCAAAATTAAAGTG